TGCTGAACCTGTGCTTTCAGGTCCCTGGCTTATACACTGGTGAGATCTTTGCCAAACTGGAAATCTACATGTGGCTTGGGGTAACCAAATATGCGAAGAACTGTTTGACAGAGCTGCCTGAGAACTTCAAGTACCTCTCTGAGAGCGGACAGGAGATAGCCCAGCTCTCAGCATACAGTCCTCCCAGTCGGCTCAGCAGGGATGGTGAGTGCAGATGCCACTTTTGCATGGCTTAACCATGAGCGGGTGAACAGATAAGTCCTGCCCCAGAGACAGTGTCCAAGGAGCAGAAATTGGTCTATCATCTCCATGTCATCTTCAAGGCATGACTGGGACAGGCAGGTCCAGTTTCCCTTCTGAGGACATGTTTGCTCACTGACAGATAGAGCACTAGGCTGGTTGGGTGCTTTGTAGACACTGAATGTGCTGCCAAGCTGGCAACGGGCATGAGGTCTGCCCCTTTGCTGAGGCCTGGTGGTGCTCCCCTGCAGTAAATGTTCTGCGCATCAGCAAATCACTGCACATTTCACATGTCATGTCCTCCCCAGAGATGTCTGGGGAGTCCACTGAGCTTGTCTGGCTCAGCCAAACCATTTGAGATATGCTGGCTTTCTGAAAACCACAGCAAGTTCCCCCAGAAGTGGTACCCATTCCTTGCAGGATGTGCCCACTCCTACCTGTCTGGCCCTTTTCTTCATGCATGTTTTGGTCTCACACAGGGCTGGACTGGGAACATGAGACCTCTCTTCTCTTTTAATTACCAGACTTTACCTATTTCCAACTCCGAGCCCATCTATATCAGGCTCGAGGGATCCTCCCTGCAGATGACAATGGCCTTTCAGATCCATTTGCGAGAGTGGTGTTTTCAACTTATTGCCAGACAACCAGGGTGAGACCATGTAAACACTTGCTTCTGCCTTTCTGGGGTCTTGGGGAGAGAAAAATTATCACGTCCTCACTAACATGTTGAAGACCAGTGCTGTGGCAGTCCTCCTGGAAATTTTGTAACTCCAGTCATGAGATATTTGTGTGCTCTGGGTGCTGTAACTGTGTTAAGGGAACATTTGACAAAACATATATCATTGAGCATGGTCTCAAAGCTTGATTGACGTGTGCTAGTTGACCCCAGGTGCTGATTTCATACCTTTACTGTCTTCCCTTCTGCCAGGCGCCGGCTACTTGTGTCTGTATGGGAGAGGGGATCAGTCCACACTTCCTCACTCTCTTTACAAAGTGCCTGTGGTTTGTGTCTGCTGGCTGTGGTAGGCTTAGGCCTTTTGTCTCTCTATGTAGATGCTGGAGGAGACACTGAGCCCCATGTGGAACGAGCTGCTTCTGTTTGACCAGCTCATAATTGATGGGAAAAAAGAAGAGTTGAAAACAGAGACCCCCATTGTTATAATCAACCTTTTCAGCCACAATAAATTTGTAAGTATGGCCTTGCTGCCCTCCTGCTGTCATTTCCAGTACAGGGAAGGCAGGGGAGCAACGTGTGTGTGCGTGTGTGCTGTGAGTGGGCACTAAGAAACCACATCTCTGTTTGGTTTCCATGACTCAGCTTGATCCTGGTCCACCGATGACAGTGAGTCCTGGAGCCTGTGGCTGAGGTTGAGACTTTCTGTAGACTTCTGCTATAAGCTGGAGTGAAGTTGCTGGGTGCAGCTGCAGATGGTGCAGAGGTGCCCTGAGCCAGGGCCTGACGAGTGCTCAGTGGAGCCGGGATCTCTCCTTTTTGAAGAAGCCCTGTGACTCTTCCAGCTGCCTTCCCTGCTTCCTTGGCAGGCTGATGTATCAGAGGGCTCATAGCCTACTGGAGCTCTTAGGGCTGTTCCTTCCTCTCTGTCCTCCAGAAGTCATCTTCCATCCCTCCTCAATCCTCCCTTTTCTCCCTTCATTAGTACTTTGAAGTCATACTCGTCTCCTTGGGCCTCTTTGTTATTGTGAGGAGAATGGCATAACTTGCACTGGCTTCCCCTGTGTAGCTCAGCAGCTTTCCTGGGACTATTTCCAGGGTCCCAGTATAAGACAGACACTGACATACTGAAGGGGCTCCAGAGGAGGCCATCAAGCTGTTTAGGGTTAGAGCACAGGGCAGCTTGAGGAGAGGTGAAGAGCTGGGTATATTCAGCCTGGAGAAGCTGATGTAAAGGCAGTGTCTTATTGCTGCATGCAGCAGCCTGATGGGAGAAGGTAGAAAGTGTGAAGCCAGCCTTTTCTTGGAGGTGGCCAGGCACAATGACAGGACATGAACAGAAGTTGGAACAAGAAAAAAGTCTAACTTGATGTAAGGAAGTAATTTTCGCCCAGAGGAAGTTCACATGCTGGACCTGAAGCTCAGAGAGCTTTTGGGATCTCTGTCCTTGGAGACATTCAAATTCTGGCTGAAGGAGACTCTGAGCAACCTTATCTAATCTGGTGCTACCTGATCTGTTCTTTGATGCATGGTCCCAGGCCATTTCCCCCAGTCTGCATGGAGATGGACTGACCATTAGGAAGATCTGCTGCAAGTGTATCTCATCTGTTCCTTACTCTGGATGGTGAACAGGAAATCAAAGCAGAGGATGGCCAGGGTGGAAGAGAGTTCTTGTGCTGTTCCAGATTGGCTGGAATTAGTGACGGTCTTTTCTCTGAGGTGGTGAGATAACACAGGGATGCTTTGACCCATTCCCTCCTTTCCCAGAGGGCTCCCCAGAGTTCCTCGGCCAGGCTTTTGCTGTCCCTCAGGTGAAGATGGTTGATGAGCCTTACACCAAACCTGCCCTGCAGTTCTTTGATTTCTACAAAGGCACCAAAACAGCAGGAGAGCTCATTGCTGCTTTTGAGCTGATTGAACTGGATTACATTGGCTATTTGGAGGTAATGGACTTGTAGGAAGCTGCACATGGTTGCCAGCTCTCTGGGGAGAGCTGTGTGGGTGAGGAGCTGGTTGCATGGGGTCCACCAGAGAATTCCCTGTTGAAAGCCACATTTGGCTTTCAACTGAAGGGAGGCTGCAGGGTCAGAGCCTGTTAGCACAGATCAAGAGGGGAGGGAGAGGGGGCATGGCATGGAGTACAGAAATGGCTTTCATCACGTGGTGTGCCCTGGCTCCACCTGTTCAGCCATCAGTGCCTGAAGACATGGAGCCCAAGGAGCCCGACTACCTCGGAGACCCCCATGCTGGACGATACATCATCCCTGAGGGCATCCGCCCGGTGCTGAAGGAGTTTCGCATAGAGGTGTGCTGTCTTCTATTCGGCTGCCCCACTCCCCCGCCACCAGGCTGCCTCAGGCAGACAGCTCAGCTGGTCTGTGCAGAAGGCAGGGCTTGGAGAGAGTGTCAGGCTTGGAGCTCCAATGTGGCTTTGAGGTCTGAGCAGATGCCAGAAATGGAGATGCTTGACATGAAGGAGAAACTGTCTCAGCAGTTTAAGAGCCAGAGTTGTTGGGTGGCTGAATTGGGAGACTGACACTGTGCCTCTCTTAGGGTCTGTGTCCTGTGGGGTTAGGAGGGGTGGCAGCACTGGGCAGGGTTGTGGGCTGCATGGTCATGCCATGCTTGGTATGTCTTGAGCAGCCCAGCAGCTTTGTGTTGTGCTTCAGATCCTCTTCTGGGGCCTGCGGGACCTGAAGCGTGTGAATTTGTTTGAGGTGGATCAGCCCCAGGTGATCATTGAATGTGCTGGCAAGAAGGTGGAGTCTGAGGTGATACTGGCCTACAAAGAGAACCCTAACTTCACCGAGCTGGTCAAATACATGGACGTGGTGAGTGGGATGGGTGGTCCTGCCTTGTTAAGGTGCACTGTGGCCACCCTGCACCTGTGCACTGCCTCTCTGCCTGGGGCAAAGTAACAGGAGGGGAGCTGCTCCAGGGTTTTGCTCTCTCATGACCACATGGTTCAGATGCAGATCAAAACCTTTGAGAAATTGCCCACCAAGAGCAGTCTTAGCCATCACCTGACACTGCAGAGCTTTGGGTTTTGGGCAGATCTGCAAGGTACTGTCAGACTTCCCTGTGTGTGTGGTGGGGCTGCCACAGGTATCACCCTTGCTCCTGTGAACCCCATGTGTGGTTCTTTTGTAGGAGCTCCCAGAGCAGGTCTATCTGCACCCTCCCCTCAGCATCTTCGTGGTAGAAAAGCGGGCGTTTGGGCGCACTGTGCTGGTGGGTACCCACATTGTGTCTGATGTGATGAAATTCTCTCCCAGAGAGCTGGAGGAAGAACCAGAAGATGTGCCCAAAGGTGAGGTGGCTTGATAAGGCTCCTGTGGAGGCAGGCAGATTTTGCCAGTGGCAGAGATCCCTGACTCTTCCACTTCCTTCTAGCCAGTCAGCAAAGTCCTCTCCTGAGAGCCATAATATGCCCAGAAAAAGCACAGCATGGGGCAGGTTAGGGTTGGAGTAAGGTTGTGATCAAGCTTCAGCAAGCTCGTCCACTAGAACCAAGGCTTGGAAGGTTTCTGCTTTTCTCACATCACTGGATCAAGGTCTGTTCATTAGGTAATGGATTCACAAAATAGCTCTGTGATAGCAGCAGCCAGAGCTCCTGACTTGGAAATGTATTTGGAAGAATAAATAAGGCACAAAGGGGAAGAAGCAAAGGATTGATCGATCTGTGGTCATTTCCAAGTAAGGAAGGTGCATTTCATAAATCTGAAATCCTGGGAGTCAGCAACAAGCATGTTGATGACAGAGGCCAGTCTCAGAACTGTGTTTGGATTTCCAATAATATTTTTGCAGGGTCTGCTATCAAAAGCTTTAAAAGCAATCACACTGCAGTGGGGAAAGGAGGGAGGGTTTTCCTATGGAACAGTAACTGGCCAAAATGAAGCAGTGGGCATGGCAACAGGAAGCTCTTTCTCTTCTTCTCAGCTTGGAAAGTCTCATCCCATCATCTTCCCTCTCAGACTGTGGTAAACATTGGTCCAGCAGCTGGTGACCCAGGTCGCAGCACTCACCCCCTGAATCTTGTGAAGGTGAGTGATACGTTGAGCCCAGGAAATTCTGAAGTTTGAAAAGCCAAACTGAAAGTTACAAGCAAGAAATAGTTCACAAGTTCAGAGTTAAGTCTGAACCTCCTGTTTCGGTCTGGACCTGAACACTCCTTTCTCCTGACTGTTCATTGGCACTGCTGCATATCTGGGCTCCAGCACAGCAAGCAGAGTTGTGTTGCCTTGTGCCTTCAAAACTGCTGCTTCTGTAGCAAAGCACAAACTTGGGGCTACAGGTACAGCCTCTGCCAGAGGCTCCCAGGGCACTAAAGTAGGGTATGTGAGTGTCCTTGGTGGTTTTTTTTTGTTTGTTTTTTTGTTTTTTGTTTTTTTACTTTCTCTGAACCCTTTTGTTTGTTCTTTAATGCTCCTTTGAAGAAAATTCGTATCAATAAGCTTGTAAAGAAGGAGGATATATATGAAGAGGAAAAGCCAGAGCTAGAAGAACTGGATTGGTGGTCTAAGTACTACGAGTCCCTGAAGGAGCTGTATAACCAGGTAATTTTTTGTGACAGCTGCCAGCAGAGGGAAAAAGTGGCTGAACTGGCTTGAAAAAAGACTTTCTTTTTTAACAGCACTGAGTGCTATAGGAGCCTTCCTGGCTTGGCTCTGCAGAAGGATGTGGGCTTTTGTGTGTCAACACATAATATTGCCAGTTATGAAGCATAGAATCATAGAATGTATTGAGTTGGAAGGGACCTTTAAAGCTCATCCAGTCCAGCCTCCCTGCAGTGAGCAGGGCCACTGTTACCAGATCACGTTGCTCACAGCCCCATCAAGTGTGACCTTGAATATCTCCAGGGATGGGGTCTCCACTGCCTCTCTGGGCAACCTGCTCCAGTGATCTATCACTGGAGCATCCATCAAGTGGACTGATTTCAGCAGGCAATGGCTGTTGAAACATCCTTGAAGCTAGGTTCCCACGCAATTTTGAGAATGCGACTAGGATTTTGTCGAGGCACTCCTGAAAATGTGACATTGCTGATTTTACCTGCAATGCAGGGACTTTCATGCTGGTTACTCTCTGTCTTTGCTGTCTTCCCATGATGTGCTATGGGAGCAGGTCTGCTCCAAATTTCCTTCCTTGCCCTGTGTCCCTTAAATCCCAATGAAAAAAAAGCTAGCAGGAAGATCTGGGGAGAATACAATGTCATTAAGGCACTCATTGCATAATCTACTCTGATGACGTTAATTCTAAATGAGCCTAAGCTGGGTATTACTGACTCTGCTGGCTGGAAAGCTTTGCCAGTGTCCTGTGCTTGGATGGAGAAGCCATTGCTGTCAGGGATGTGAGGTTACTGTCTGTGTGTGTTTCAGCAACACAGTGATGAGGAAGATGCTGAGAATGATGACCTGAATGATATGGGTGAGTCCTCTAGCAGTACCCAGCTCTTTTGTGTGGAGAACCATGACTTAACACCATCCCAGAGTGTGTTGGGCTTGTGGGAATGAGACCTGAGCAGGCAACAGCTTTGCAACACTCAGCAAAAACAACACAAAAGAGAGGAGAGAGACTGAAAGACTGGCAAGGGCTAACAAAGGGTATTTCAAATTGAAACCACCAGACTTTCCTCAGAAAAGTTTGGAAAATTGGGTTGAAGCAAAAGCCTTCTTGCGTGAACAAAAACCTGCAGAAAAATCAGCTGCAAGGATCATGGAATTGTCAGGGTGAGAGCAGGAAGCAAAGGTGGGATGGAGAGAGAGGATGGTGGAGAGGCAAAATAGCCCAGGAACTGGACATCTCTCTGTGCAGGTGGGATACTCACCTGGGTACAGGATTCATTGCGAGGTGACAGACAGTAATAATAAACATGTGATCTGAAAACAGTGTTACAACTGTAGGGTCAGGTTTGCCGAGGTGTGAACAGTGACTCGCCTAGCAATGACCTGGGGAGGTGAGACAGTGAGTGTAGAAATGATATATAAATCCTCTTTAGTGAGAGAGCTGGAAAGTACCTGTATGCCATTAGTGCTCAAGGGATTGGAGGTCCTTGGGAGATGTGGCAAGAGCGTACCCTCTCCATCCTTGGGTTTCTGGTGCACCAGAGAAAGGTCTAGCTATGCTCTCTCCTGGTACAGCTGCTTGTGCCGAAAATAGTAGTGATGCTGTATTTAGACATCCTCCCAAAAGAGCACTCCATCAAATAAGCACCTATCCAAAGATGAGGGTTAGCTCTGACTTGTGCCTTCCCTGACAGTGCCTGTGGACTGGTCTTGCTGCCTTCCTCCTTTTGGTCTCTGCCCACTTCCTTCCTAAACAGTAGCCATGCAGGTAGGCAAGTCTGTGCCAGTTTTTGCCTGCCCCTGACTCATCCAGGCATGCCTTCCTGGGTAACCTGAGATGCCGCAAGAACACCCATTACAGACGGGCAGTAGTTTTGGTTACCCTGACACAGGTCAAAGCTGTGGGAGAAATAGAAAGCTGTAGCTGGGGTCATTGCATGGGCAGACACTTGAGATGATGGGAGATATTAGAGCATTTCCTAATCTCCTCTTGCCGTTTCTAGATGGAGGGAATTTAAATGCATCCTCCATTGATACAGAAGCAGAAGATGAGGCAGTAATTGAAGCTGAGCCAGCTCAACCCAAGAGGAAGCTCATCGCCACCATTCAGGTGATTATTGGGCTGGCAGATGTGGCCTTTTTCAACCCTGGCCCTTTGTTCCATGTACCTCACCTCCTTGCAGTGGAGCTTAGGCTGTGAGGAGATCCTGCAGTGTCTGATGGGTTCCCATTGGTGCTGGGCTTTGGAACAGCTAGTGAGACCTTGGAGCCACACTGAGTTGTGTGTGCACATCTGAGGATGGACCTGGGGGAATAAGGGATAAACTGTAACACCCTGCACTGAGTAATAGGGGGGTAAGGTAGGGCCAAATGAAATGTTTGAAGTAGGGGAAGAATGGTCTTTCTGATTCTTCTCCCTTTTAAGATGGCAGGAAAATGCCCAAAGTGAGTTTACTTATTTCAGATCTACAACTCTGAGCTGGAAAATGAGTTTGATAATTTTGAAGACTAGCTGTGTATTTTCCCCCTTCATCGTGGCAAAGCAAATGAGGATGAAGATGGAAACGAGGATGAACATTTTGAGGGGAAGTACAAGGTACTGTATAATTTAAATTTGTGCTGCATGTGGAAGAAAATCCTTAGGACAACCCGTATTTCAGAACATGCCAACACCATCAAAGACTTGGAGAGCGTGTATGTGTGTGTATATGTGTGTGCAAAGTAATGTGAGGCCACTGTGCAGCATGGCCAGGGTACTGTGGGTGCCTGTGGAGGTAATTGTGTACTGTGCTCTTTTGTTAGTTTATAAATGCACCTGATTTAGATTTGTCAGCTCTTGCAAAGAGAAAGCATGAAACATAAAGGACACTTACTCTGGTTCAGTTCTCTGTGTGTGTTCAGTATGCAAATAAGCATTAGTGAGCTTCACTGGTTTTAAAATAAGTAAAACTTGTTTAAAAGAGGCATCATCCTCCCACCCAAGAGCTGTTGTAGACTCTGAAATATCAACTACAGAAGTTGATTTCAGAAAGTCCCTGGAAAACCTTTGCTGCTCTCTGCCTCTGTCAGTCCAAAGTGCCTGGAGATGTTAACATCTCCTGGCATTGGCAGTGGTCTAACAGCCTGCAGCCTAACTTGCAAGGAGGGACTGCCTGGGCCAGATGGACATGACAGTGCCTTTGCAAAGGATTGTCCTCAAGGGCATGGGGTGTCTCTGGTCTGCATGAGGCAGTGGCTCTGATCTTAGAGTCGACAGATGAAGCTGGTCTTGATGGTTCCAATCCCATCTGAGATACTGTCTTTTGTTGTTACTTGCAATGTCTTTTCTGCAGGGCTCCTTCTATGTCTACCCCACTGAGGAGGCAGGCACACAGCCCAAGATCTCCCAGGGCATTCCAAGAAACAGACCCATCAAGGTTCTTGTAAGAGTTTACATCATTAAGGTAAGACTGGTGATAGTAATGCATGGAGGTCTGTCCCAGCCTATGGACCTCCTGCTATTCTCTGCTCAGTAAATATGAGCAGTGGCACTTGAGAAAAGCTCAGTCCTGGATTGAAGGCTCTGCCAGTCCAGTGGAAGTCAGCTACATCTTGCCGACAGGGAGCCATCCGTGCATTGTAGCTTCAAGGGTGGCTAATTATCTGGATGAGCATTTCTTGGCTCCTCTGATCTGCCTTGGGATAGTGAGAAAGCAGGTGGACCAACAGCTGGAGACATTGGTGGCTTGTTGAGCAGGGATTTGCTTGGGAACAAATGCCTGTGTCACTGCTGGGACAGTGGTGGAGGGACATGAGCAGCGAGCTTGGGTGGTTTCAGGCCTGTGCAGTGTTGCCTGTGCAGGCTGCTCTCTGCAGCTGATGTATGGCAGTATCTCTTGTGTATTCCAGGCTACGAACCTGTCTCCAGCAGACCCCAATGGCAAGGCAGACCCCTATGTGGTGGTGACCGTGGGGCAGGAGCAAAAGGACACAAAGGAGCGATACATCCCAAAGCAGCTCAATCCTGTGTTTGGAGAGTATGCAGGAAATTTTTATCTAGCAGGTGTAATAGGAAGAGTGCAAATCTGGGGCTCAGTCTACAACCCAGCATATGTGGTCTTCTGTTCCTTCATGCTGGAGAATCTTTTGCATATCTCTTGCCTCTGGCTGACACAGGAGCCATAGGTGTTTTGGGTTAGGAGGGGAGCACTTCCAAGGGCTTGATTTAACAGACAAAGTAGCAAGCTGAGCAGCAACAGAGCATTGGAGAGCTTTTTCCATAGCTCCAGGACCTCTGTCCAAGGGGTTACATTCCTGGAAAAGTAACTCTGTTTGAATGTGTGCACTGAAAACTGCACACACTGAACTCTACAGAGAACCAAACTCTATCAGAGGTCTTTGAGTTGTCACATACAGTTCTTAAATGTGTAGGATGGTAAAAGCAGAACACGGGTTTTGTTTCCATCCTCTTTGCTAATTGTGCTCTCCCCGTCCTGCTTCTGTCCAGAGTTCTGGAGCTGACAGTCTCCTTTCCTGTGGAATCAGAACTTACTGTGGCAATATTTGACCATGATTTGGTTGGATCTGATGATCTGATTGGGGAGACCAAGATTGACTTGGAGAATCGATTCTACAGCAAGCACAGGGCCAACTGTGGAGTGGCTTCTCAGTATGACATGTAGGTACTGGTGTGACACATTAGGGCCATGAGACACGTTCTTACCAGTAACAGAACAGTTACAGTTTTGCAGGACAGAGCTTGCATCCACAGTATCCTTTGAGCAGGTGCCCCACAGATTCACTACAAGTCACACAGATACAGATAGTGTCATCTCCTTTAGATTCCTACGTGCTTCCTGTGATAGCACTAATTCATACTGCAGAATAATACGTCTTTTATATAGTAGCAAAAAATTCTTTAATACTGGTGTTCTGTGAGAAAAGCGCTCACATGACATTGACATGATTTTAATCTCTCACAGAAAGTAGGGTGATTTGTCTGGCAATAGCTAATTCTGTGAGCAACAAGGCTCATCATGTCTGTTTTCCTTTGGCCTCTGGATTCTCTGGTGTCTTTGGCAAGTTTTCTGTCAATTTCTCTTCTACCCTGGGGAATAGGCACGGAGTTGAGGCCCCAGCACTGTTAAAACCTCTCTTCCCTTTACTAGCTGTAGCTGGAACTGCTCCTCTTGCTAGTTTGAAGCTAATGGTTCTGCGGAGTGCAGCCTGGTTTGTTCAGGGGGTGGAGAGCTTGTTACGCTTTTCATTCATTAAGCTTTTGTGTGCCTGTGGTTTTCCCAGAGAAAAATCTGAGCAGGGATCTTGTGGCATAGCCTGTGCTGTAGGGAAGACAGGGTGTTTCACAACCTAGGGGAAAAAGGCCCGTTGTGTTGAAGATGAAGATGTTCTCTGTGTTCTCCCTTCCATGCAGAAATGGCTACAACACATGGCGAGATGCTTTCAAGCCCACACAGATCTTGGATAGTTTATGCAAGAAAAACTCGCTGCCTGCAGCAGAGTACAGACGGGAGGAGGTCAAAGTGGACAATAAAATATTCAAGGTCCCTCCAGAGGCTTTTCCTGAAGGTACAGAGGGCTTGGAGAATGAAGACTGCTCCCTCAGGCACCTGCCGGCACCCAGCAATGCCCACGCTGGTGAGAGGTCTGGGAACTCCCCAGCCTCTCTTTCGTGAAGCGTCCAGGCTGGCTGCCACTGCTTCTCCTTTGCTGTTTCTCTTTCCTCCTAACTGGCATTACAAACCCTGAGCCAGGGCCACAGGTGTCCAAGAACACAGCAACCTTTCATGCCCTCCACAAGAAGGGATGGCCAACTTCCCTAAGCACGGGCCTGTCCCTGCTGTGTACGTTCCCTCCAGCAGCCGAAACCCATGCAATTGAATCCAACCTGGAGGAAAGAATGTAGGTGTGGTCCACCAGTGGATGGCTGGGTCCCTGCGAGGCAGTGCTGTGCAGCCTGTAGGAAGGATGATCCCTGTGCCTGACCTGCCCTGAGAGGGAGGACCTAAGCGTACAGCCAACTTGACCTTCTTTCAGTGCTGCTGCTTCTCAGTTTTCCTCTGGATTCTATGGGTCGTGACATGAAAAGGAAAGAAATCCTGCTCTGGAGAGGGCAAGGAGCCTCCAAAAGCCCTTTTCCTCTTTTTCTCAAATCACTTAGTAGCTGGGGAGGGAGAAATGATGTGCTCTCCTGAGAGCCAGCTCTGATTCAAAAGTAGCTGCAGTTGGTACCTCTGCTGTGCTCAGGGACTGCATGGGATTGGTTTCAGGCTGATCTCCAAAGGGTAGATGCTCTCCATAAACTCTGGGGTGGGTGAGTCATTGTGTACTCACCTGTTGGTTTCTGCTTTTCTCCCCACCAGCAGGATTTGTTCTTGAACTGCCATTTGGCTTCACTGTGCCAAATGAGTCAATCATGCAGACTTAATGGAGAGTGTTAATTAAACAGAGAGCACAGCTGCATGTCAAGCAGTGCTCTTCTGGCGAAACCTCTCATCCATGGGTCTGTTGGCACTACCCTGTAGACATGGGAACTTGAACTTTCCAGAGAGTCACATCTTCCTTGGTGTTCCCTGGACCCTTTTCCCAGGGCCTTAATAAATTATTTTTTGCCCTTTTCCTCTTACTTCTCTTAGCCTGTTTGTCTTCCTGCCTACAGTGTTCCTCATCACTGCAGCATATTTAGCTCATTTCCTACATCCTCACCCTTCTGCTTCTCCCCATTTTGTTTTTCTGGGGAGGTGCTTGTTTGCCTAGTCCATCATCTTCCTTTACTTGTGCCTGTGACTAATGTCCTGATGTGGTTCTTGTTGGCCAGATGCCTTAATTTTATACCTGACTGTGTCCTACTACAGAGACCTCTGTAAGGAACAAGAGAGGAGCAGCAAATGAGAACTGGTCAGTGGATGATGAACATAAGACTTTGTACGTCCTGCAGCACTGGGAAGAGATGCCAGGATACGGGTACAAGCTGGTACCAGAGCATGTGGAGATACGGTCCCTGTACAACTCGGAGAACCCTGGGCTTGTGCAGGTGAGATGTGTTTGCTCGACCACCCTACATATTGTTCTGTGGAAGAACATTCAGGGTAGCTGGTTCCCAGCCCTGTGGCTGGTCCTCTTGCTGTCCTTTTGTCTTCTCATCATGGCTTGAATCCCATGTGTTCTTCCTTCCTGGTTGGGCAGCTGGAGCTATCTGTTTCTGCGGATGGCTGGCCCTGCTATGATGTGAGGACTGTTGGCCTTGGGTGTCCTTTGCTCACGTCTACCCTCTGACCTCTCATGGTTCTTCTGAACACTCTTTGCTCAAGCTCTAGTCATTGCTGTTGTGGTCACAGTGATGGTGGGCCAGAGTCCTCCCTGTCTCCTCAAGCCATGTAGCACTACTCTGACAAGGATGTTGTGCAGGTGGCACAACAAAGGTGGTTGCTCTGCCTTTCAAGCCCTGCCACAATGCACCACGGTGGGTGGTAGTGTCCTATCCCTGCCTCTTCCTCTGCTTCATCCCATGTCACTGCTGCTTTGCTCCCATGCAAGGGCCCTGTTCTGCCCGCTTGGCTTCCCCTGGGGGCATGACCTAACTGCTGTCTGGAGGAGAAACATTCACCCTCAGTTTTATACAGTGCAGTGATTTGAGTTCAAGCATTTTAGTGTCCTGCACAGAACATGTCCGGTTCCTTTGGGGAGGTCTGTAACGAAGCAGAGTACTGCAGTTACTCTGCCTTTGGTCAGCATTGGAAATGCGTGTGGGGAGGGAAGGATCAGATCCAGCACATTTTATTTTTCTTGATTATGCTGAAGCATTGCATCATCGTACACTTCTTGTTGAGACAGAGGAACACGTTCACCTCTGTTTGTAATGGACTCAATTACGCTGAAATGGTTTTTCTTGGGAGCAGGGTGGGGAGGGAAATAAGCAATTTTTGGTAGTTTTAATATTTTCCCTAAAATCCAGTCACTCTGAAGGGCTGGGGAATGGAGAGAGCCTAGCAGTGGCTTTCTGATGAGAGCTTTCTTTGCAAGACCAAGCCTTTGCTCCTTGAAGGTGGAGGGTGGTCTGTCTTTTGAAGTCTCTCTGCTGTATTCTCTTGTCAGGGCTCTTTGCACATGTGGATTGACATGTTTCCAAATGATGTCCCTGCACCACCGCCTGTCAACATCAAGCCGCGGTCACTGACCCTCCCCATGCCTGGCAGGATGTTACACGGAGTCCTGCACAGTCTAATGGTCTATGCTAGTGGGCATCCAGCCCTCCTCTCCGCTTCAGCTCTGGCCGTGGGCTGGTCTCTTGGGTGTATCAGCATGGGGCATAAACACTTCAGGTGCACAAGTGTTTGTGAAGGGCAGGGTTACTCTCTCTAAGGCTGGACATGAAGGAGAAAGAAACCCAGGCCAGAGCTACTCATCTAATTCTATTTTGGCTAGTGCACAGATGTCCTCTGGGTGCCCAGTGAAGTGAAGTTGAAGGAGGAGGTATGCTGTTTTCAATGATCTAATGGGGCTGTTGAGATGGAGAGTCCAGATTCTTCTCAGAGGTGCACATGAAAGGACAAAAGTTAATGGACACAAATTGCAGCAAGGGAAACTCCAACTGGATGTATTGAAAACATTTTTCCAATGAGAATGAAGCTACCCTGGGATAGGAATGGAGTGACCCAGAGAAGTGCTGACATATCTGTCCTTGGAAATATTTAGAACTCATGCAGACAAGACCCTGAGCAATCTGATCTACTATGAAGTCAGAGCAAAAGGTTGGAGCAGAGACTGCAAGATCCTTTCCTGCCTGAGTCTTTCTGTGCTCCTATGGCTAAGTGGTGCTGGATAGGTTTCCCATGAACCAGGAATTTCCTTTGCAAAAGTTGCCTGACTATAGGTGTTCATCTTGTGGGGTCGTAGCTCCCCCCACCCCCAGTAAGGGCTTTGTGCATGGTAGCGAGACTGCTGGTCTGTACTTGTCCCAGTGTTAGGAAGGTTCATTGGCCTCTCTGCCAATGTGGGCTTGACCTGCCCTCCCAAGCACTGGAGATGCGAGCATGTGTCTTACTCACCTCTGTGTTCTCCCCACAGCTATGAACTGCGTGTGATTATCTGGAACACAGACGACGTGATCCTTGATGATGTCAACCCAGTAACAGGAGAGCCTTCCAGTGACATCTATGTGAAAAGGTCTGATGGCAGGCAGAGGGAAGCCAGAGCCTGGCTGTCCTGCTCCCTGCCCTGCCCCACATCCTCACTGCCTCCTCTGAACCACTGCTCCTCCCTGCTTCAGTGTGAGGTGCCTCACTCCACTCCCCTGCATGGTTTGCTCTAGCCCAAAGATGGTCAGGTGTTGGTCTGGTTTGGCCCTTTGACTCTTCCTTTCCTGCTACCCCATGCTGCTTTTCCTTTGCGGCTGGCTGGCAGAGGTAGGAGATGATAAACAAGTTTATCTTCTGCAGCTGGATAAAGGGTCTTGACCACGACAAGCAGGAGACAGATGTTCACTTTAACTCCTTGACCGGGGAGGGCAATTTCAACTGGCGGTTCATCTTCCGCTTCAACTATCTCCCAACCGAGAAGGAGATCACCTACAAGAAGAAGGACTCTGCCTTCTCCGTGGAGGAATCAGAGTTTCGTGAACCAGCTGTTCTGGTTCTCCAGGTCTGGGACTACGACAGCATTTCAGCTAATGACTTTCTAGGTATGGTATGATGGGAAGCTGGAAGTGGGGTGACCTGTCCCTCACCATGCTGGAGTATTACAGCATTTCTCCTGGGGCCCAGCTCTCTCAGAAGGAACACCAGGAGCATCAAATCAAGCTCTTCATCTCACAAGTAATCTGGGCTGGTTTTTCACATGTGAGCTATAGACAGAGCCTGGAGATATGCACCTCTCCTACACAAATATGTTGAGCTTGCATGCTTGTCCTAGGCCCTTAGTTGTTCTTTTTTCAGGGCCTGTCATGCCACAGGACTTCCAGGTTCTGCTTCCTCACAACCTTTATTTCAAATTTATCAACTTGCCCTTTTTTCCTTGCTCTCACTTAGATCTGCAGATCTCTAAGACTTGTCCAAAAAGCAGCTTTTCCAGGACATTACGTTGTGAGCACAAAAATGTGAGACCATTTGGAACTTGAATTGCAGCATCCCATTGCTGGGGGTTTGAAGTTCCCTGGCTGCTCTTATACTTTCCAGTAACCAGACATGCTGGGCATGCAGCAAGGCCTGGAGATGAAGCTGGGCTGGTGGTGATTCTGTCCACACTATGCTAGCACAAGCACTGCTGCTTGTCTCCTGTTTCTGCTGCCATCCCCAAATTTGTAGAATTCCATTCAGTTGTCACTCCCTTCAAACACTGGCCTACTCTTCATTAAAAAGCAGACCCTTTGCCTTGCTGTCTCTTGGGCAAGATAAAATTCTCTTTATTCATCAGCCTTCCATGGTGTATTTAAAGGGCTTTACTTCCATGAGACACCTCCAGTGGTGATTGGTTCAGTCATGCTACTCAGGCTCTGAAGTGTTAGACAGCAATCACAATGATTCCTGGCATGTACAATCTCAGGAAATTCTAGCCAGAAACTATGCAGAAACTCTCCCTTGACCTGTTTCCTCTGCAGTGAATAGGTCTCTCAACCCATACTACTATGGCACATACTCTAGCCATGGCCCTCTCTGGCACTAGACACTCTCTTTCTCTCCCTAGTTAGTTGACACATTTCTTGTGTTGAGGGCCCAAAACTGGACATGGTATCGAGATGCAGTCTCACTACAAGTGAACAGAGAAGAACATCCCCATCCCTTGGTTGCTGGCTGTGCTTTTACCAATACGTGGCTATCATGGAAACATGGTGGAATGAGTCACACAACTGGAGTGCTGCCATGGATGGGTATAAGCTCCTCAGAAGAGATAGGCAAGGAAGGAGAGGCGGTGGGGTGGCCATGTAAGTTGGGGATTGCTATGACTGCCTAGAGATCAGTGATAATGACAACAGGGTTGAGTGCCAATGGGTGGGAATCAAGGGGAAGGCCAACAAGTCAGATATCATGGTGGAGGTTTGTTATAGACCACCCAGCCCGGATGAAGACATTTATAAGATATTCCATAGGCAGCTGGGAGAAGCCTTGCATTCGTTTCCCCTTGTACTCGTGGGGAACTTCAACTTCCCAGATATCTGCTGGAAATACAATACGGGAGAGAGGGAAGAGTCCCAGACGTTCCTGGAGAGTGTGGAAGATAACTTCCTGACACAGCTGGTGAAGGAACCGACAAGGGAAGGCACCCTGCTGACCCTGCTGTTTGCAAACAGAGAAGGTCTTGTGGGGGATGTGAACGCTGGAGGCTGTCTTGGGCACAGTGATCATGAAATGATAGAGATTTAAATCCTTAGAGAAGCAAGGAAGGGGGAGCAAGTAAGCACAAGGAGCAATGGGTGCAAGCTGGAGCATAGGAAGTTCCATGTGAACATAAGGAAAATCTTTTTCACTGTGAGGGTAACAGAGCACTGGAACAGGCTGCCCAAAGAGATTGTGGAGTCTCCTTCTCTGGAGACGTTAAAAAACCCACCTGCATGCACTGCTTTGTGACTTACTCTAGGTGATCCTGCTCAGGCAGGGGGGCTGGACTCGATCTTTCTAGGTCCCTGCCAGCTCCTAATATTCTGTGATTCTGTTTTTCATTATGCGCTCTCTTCACTGTTTCTGCAGGCTCCATTGAACTGAAGCTGCATGACATGGTACGGGCAGCCAAGAGCTCAGAGCATTGCACCATCAAGATGGCCAAGGAGAATGCAACACCTCGCTTCTCCATCTTCCGAAACAAACGCATGAGGGGGTGGTGGCCCTTCGTCAAACTCAAAGATCAAGAAGATGAGGAGAGGGAGGACAAGCAGAAGAAGAAGAGAAAGAAGTGGAGAAGCTCAGTCAAACCAGAGGATGTGGAGTTCACAGATGCCAGTGGGAACAAGTACTTCCTGACAGTAAGGCAGGGTGCTGGCACAGGTGACCATTCAGTGTTTTTGTTTCTGCCTTGACATGGCAATCTGTCCTGCTTGCAACATAATCTACACAGGCAGCAGAAACCCAGCTGCACAGACCTTTCTTTGTGCAGGGTCCTGGAGACTTGTCCCATCTGCTACAAATCCAGTACTTCATCTACTCAGAAGTGCCAGCTGCAGTGACATGCAGGGGGGCTGTCCAACTTCATGTCTTCCCCTTAACTTCCCATGGAGTAGTGCTCTGCGAGGGGAGCAAAGCAAGAGGCACAAGCCTGTCCATCAACTAGACACAACAGAAGAAAAAGTTTGTCTTAGGGGTTCTGCCTACACCAGACAGGCAGATATCACCTGTCCCAGGGCAGATGCACTGCTGATGACCCTGCTCATGGATCACTGTTTGTCTCCAGGGGTGATGAGTTTTGCTCAGTGCCAGTGTGGAAGGCTGCACAGAATGTTAGGAGTTGGAAGGGGCCTTGAAAGATCATCTAGTCCAACTCTCCTGCCTGAGCAGGATCACCTAGAGCAAGTCACAAAGTAACGTGTCCAGGCAGGTTTTGAATGTCTCCAGAGAAGGAGACTCCACAACCTCTCTGGGCAGCCTGGTCCAGTGCTCTGTCACCCTCACAGTGGAAAACTTTTTCCTTATGTTCAGGTTGAACCTCCTATGCTCCAGCTTGCTCCCATAGCCCCTTGTCTTGTCATTGGCTATCACTGAGAAGAGCCTGGCTCCTTCCTCCTGACACTCGCCCTTTACAAATTCATAACCATGAATGAGGGCACCGCTCAGTCTCCTCTGCTCCAAGCTCAAGAGCCCCAGCTCCCTCAGCCGCTCCTCAGCAGGAGATGCTCCACTCCCTCCATCATCTTTGTGGCTCTGCACTGGACTCTTTCAAGCAGTTCCCTGTCCTTCTTGAACTGAGGGCCCAGAGCTGCACACAATATTCCAGATGCAGTCTCTCCAGGGCAGAGTAGAGGGGGAAGAGAACCTCTCTTGACCTACTAACCACAACCTTCTAATAAACCCCAGGATGCCATTGGCCTTCTTGGCTCAAGGGCACATTGCTGGCTCATGGTCATCCTGCTGTCCACCAACACCCTCAGGTCCTTTTCTGCCTGGCAGCTCCAGCCACTCGTCCCCAAGTCTGTGGTGCTGCATGGGGTTATTGCACCTGAAGTGGAGGACCCAGCACTTGGCCTTGTTGAAGCTCATACAATTGGCCTCAGCCCATTGAGGTTCCTCTGCAGAACCTTCCTACCCTCAGGCAGATCGACACTCCCACCCAGCTTAGTGTCATCTGCAAACTTACTGAGTGGGCATTCAATCCCCTCATCCAGATAACTGATAAAGATGTTAAACAGGACTGGCCCCAAAACAGCCCTGGGGAACACTGCTTGTGACTGGTCACCAACTGGATTTAGCTCCATTCACCACAACTCTCTGTGCTCGGCCATCCAGCCAGTTTCTGACCCAGCAAAGCCTATGCCTGTCCAAGCCATGCCCAGCAGCTTCTCCAGGAGAATGCTGTGGGAGACGGTGTCAAAGACTTTACTAAAGTCCAGGTAGACAATGTCCACAGCCTTCCCCTCATCCACTAAGCAGGTCACCTTGTCATAGAAGGAGATCAGGTTAGTCAAGCAGGACCTGCCCTTCCTGAATTCATACTGACTGGGCCTGATCACTTGGTTGTCCTGCATGCAACTGCATGATGGCACTCAGGATTATTTGTTCCATGACCTTCTCTAGCACTGAGGCCAGACTGACAGGTCTGTAGTTCCCTGGGTCCTCCTTTCAGCCCTTCTTGTAGATGGCTGTCACATTTGCCAGCCTCCAGTCAACTGGGACCTCCCCAGTTAGCCAAGACTGCTGATAAATTATGGATAATAGCTTGGGGAGCACTTCTGCCAGCTCCCTCAGGACCCTGGGGAGGATCCCATCTGGCCCTGCAGACTTATGTATATCTAAGTGATGTAGCAGGTTGCTAACTGGCATGACTTCACTGTGCTTCCCATCCCTGTCTTCCCACTCAGGGGGGCTGGGTACCCACAGTACAACGGGACTTCCTACTAAAGACTGAGGCAAAGAAGGCATTAAGTACCTCAGCCTTTTCCTCATCCCTGGTCATGATGTTTCCCCCTGCATCTACTAAAAGGTGCAGTCCTTCTTTTGTTGCTAATGTATTTATAGAAACTCTTTTTGTTGCCTTTAACTAGCCAGATTATGTTCCAGCTGTGCTTTGGCCCCTTCTAGTTTTCTCCGTGCACAGCCTCACAGCAACCTTGTAGTCCTTCTGAGTTGCCTGCCCCTTCCGCCAAAGACCAAAAACTTTCCTCTTTTTTACTGAGCTCCAGCCAGAGCTCTCTGTTCAGCAAGGCCGATCTTCTTCCACACCGGCTCGTTTTCCGACACAGGGGGACGGCCTGCTCTTGTGCCTTTCAGATTTCCTTCTTGAAGAGTGTCCAGCCTTCCTGCACTCCTCTGCCCTTCAGGACTGCCTCCCAGGGGATTCTGCCAACCAAGACCCTAAACAGGCCAAAGTCTGCCCACCAGAAGTCCAAAGTGGCAGTTCTGCTAGACCTCCTTCCTTGCTTCTCTAAGCATTTAAATCTCTATCATTTCATGATCACTGT